ATTAATATTGGCGAACTTCATTATGAGGTTTCTCACTGACAATCATCTGGTAAAACAGAAATAGAATGATTATGTATCCCCATCCTCCGAGAAGAAGTTTTAAATAATGAACTCAGCTGCAAAATAATGAAAAAAAATCAGGCGGGTTGTTTTGTGACTTACTTGCTTGATATTGATGATAATGACTGAGAAAAAGTAACCAAAGGCAAAAGAGGAAACTCGTTTTTGGTGAAAAAAAATGTTAATTTTAAATTAGTTCCGGTAGTGCCTAGCAAAGTGACTTTTGCTATCTCTGCTGCGAGAGATGAGGAGGCTTCTTTTTCATCGCAAGTGTGAAAAATTTTGTGTGAAGTTAATAAGGTAGAGTTAAATGTTAAAATCCCCACCGTTAATAAAATTGAAGTAATTTCCGACCGTGCTAGCAAACACAGGAGGTATCTTGAACTATTGAAATTTGGAAATAAATTTGTAGTTAATAGTTTAAATGAGGACTGTTTTGCTTTTAATCTTCAAGACCAAGAGGGTTTAACTTTGCTTATTCATGACCTTGATGAATTACAAGGCGAGAGGATGAGTTTGCTACCTGTTGGTGATACCGACCAGCAACCGGAAATTAAATTTGTTGTCGAGGAAGTTGCAACTTTATCAACTAACGATGGAAGAATTCTTCTCAAAGTTCAAGAAAATTTTGAGTGAAAAGGAGAAAAAGTAAATGAAGTTTCTTTGATTCCGTTTCCCAAAGATGAAAGACAGTTGAATAATTGTCAAGGACAAACTATTGTTATCAAAAATCCTTCGCTAGTGAAAAAGTCAGATTCGTTATTAGATATCGGATTTTCTTATCGTGGTGAGAACGGAGAACTTAATTTCGAGCGTGGTTATGAAGGTATAATTTTTGAAGAAACAACAGAAGAGAAAGGAGTTGGTGGAGTAGAAAAAGCGTTTTTGGTAATAGGTGTAGTTGCTGTAATTTTGGCAGCGATTTTTTTCTTTCTTCCGCCATCAACAAAAATGAGAAATAGTAAAA